TTGATAGATTATTCCAAACTCCAAACCTTGCTAATTATTCTTCACTACAAGATTTTAAACAGTATTTTAATGCAGGTAAAGTATTTAATAGTGACTCAATTGGTAGTTATAAAGAAAAAACAACTAGTTCAACTCAAAGAAGTAAGTTTTATGCAGATGTTTATGAAGCAATAGTAGGATCAATATTTGTAAATGATTTAAATCTTAATAAGGAAAATAATAATGATGAAAAATGCCAAAAAAATGAAGGACTAAAAAATGTTTATAGTTTCTTAATTAATTCAAAATTGCTTAAAGAAATAGAAAATCAGTCAATCAAAACTTTAGAGTTCATTCCTTTACCCAATCATATCAATGACTTTTATCAATCATTGAATTTAGTTGAAAGTTTCCCACTATTTCTTAAGTTTTTAATTCAACTAGAGAATGTAATTGGATATAACTTTAATAATAAGAATTTGTTAATCTCAGCACTTAATTATAACGACAATGATCCACTTTATGAAATCTTTAGTACTTTTGGATTGACAACATTAGAATTATGTATATCAACTAAGTTATTCTCAAATGAGGTTTATTCATCACCTTTGTATTTACACGTATTAAGAATATCATATATTAATAAAGAATCATTGGGAATGATAGTTAGAAGAAGTGGAATAAAAAATTTCTGTCGGTTAAAAGATGATATGAAAACTAAAGATTATGGACGTATATTTGAAGCAATGTTAGGTGCAATGATAATAGATATGGATTTTGATATTAAAAAATTCATAAATGTCTATGAAAGGAAAATAGAAAAATTAATAGAAGAAAATCAATCAGATTTAGAATTTAAATAAATAATTAAAGCTTAAATAAATCCTCCAACATCTCTTTCTCAATAATAGATAATTTAGCTGGAAATATCAAAGAATGTAAAGGTTTACCAAAATCTCTACTAAGTAAATTTTCAGCAGTATCATAAACAACATACTCATCATCAGTAGAAAATCTACAGATAGCAATTAATTTAGTATTCAATGAAAAAATATTAGATTTTTTAACAGATTCAGCATATTCAATTTCTTTAATTGCCTCGTTAATACTCATAAATCTATTCTCATCAGTCTTTATGTCAAGTAAACACAAAGTATGTAAGTTATTATTGTAGTTATTAATAATATTA